AATGCGTTTCAGAGTACTTATGGACACACCAGTAGCTTCAGAAGCACGATTTTGTATTTGATTAACGTTAATCACTTTGCCGCTGTCAGCTTCTTTCTTCATACAACTGTAAACAATTATCACCATTTCTCTACTTTTGCTGTGTATTACTCTAAGTCCCCCTATTTTCTTTACACCTCTGCCCACGCTTTGCATTCTGTTCGTGCTGAGTAGAAACATCAGCAATGAATATGACAGGTCTATTATAAATGGGTCAATGTTATTGAAATGGAATTTACCACGCGAAGTGAACTTGGTCGAGTCTGCCTTGTAACTGAGCTCTGAGTTCACCCCACCCACTGTTCGAGTTGCAGATACACTGCACATCTCAAGGCCATAGCTCATGTCCCACCGAACGGCCTATACTTGAGAAGATTTTGTACAATAGATTAAGTTATCGTATGCAAGGCCCTGAACAGTTTGGCTTCTGGAAAGGTGTATCCACTGAAGATGCAGCATTCAAACTAACAGACAATGTGCTAAAATTTATTAAACAAAAAATGCATGTTGGAGGAATTTTCTGTGATTTAGCAAAAGCTTTTGACTGTAAATCCTGAAATTTTGTTGGATAAATTACATTTTTATGGCTTAAAGGAATGGCAGCACAATGATTTAACAGATAGAAAACAAAATGTCAAAAGTAAAAGTAACTAAAAAAAAATTTTCTCAAACTGGGGAGCAATAAAACATGGAGTTCCCCAAGGGTCAATTTTAGGGCCCTTGCTTTTTATAATGTACATAAATGACCTTCCTCCACAATAATATCAATAAATACTTTAACAGAACCCATAATATTTGCTGATGACACAAGTGTCATAATTTGTAATAAAAATATTGATGATTTCTGTTCAGCATCAAACATAGTTTTGTCTCAGATGAGTAAATGGTTTACTGCCAACAAGCTGGCCCTAAATCTAGATAAAACGAATATTCAATACAATTCTTTATTATTAGTGTGGTGTATCAACAGCCAGAAGGCCGATTACAGATAAAGCACAGAGATGAGCACACGAACACAATAAAAACATAAAAGGTAAAACAAGCAGAATATAAAATGCACTAATACGGAGGACGTTAATACGCAAGAAACTCACATCAAGAACTCCGCAAATGATTCAAATAGTGTCGGAGATGAAGAAACCACATATTAGCATATTTGTAAAAATAATTTAAATCCATTAAGTAAATCATACTATTATAGAATGTGAAGAAGTGTGACAATTTTCGTCTCTCATATGTCCAAGTCGCTGCAGATGACATTTAGCAGAAGGACTGTTTTTGATCTGGGCTAAAACTGAACATTGTAAAATGTATAACAAATAACTCACCACCATATGCCTTGGCTTAGTCTAAATCATTTGTATACGCCCATCGTATTTGTAACTTATCATTTCTTTAGGTGAACCATTTGTTTGTATTATGTGAAATTTATATTAGTATGAATTGTACTTTATAATATATATTGTGTTATTATTATCATGAATTTTCCCACATCCTATTGTCATCTAACTGTCTTATGTATCCATGGAATGTAATGAAACATGTATGTATGTTTCAGATTCAGAGCAAGCTGACGCTAATTGGGCCAAGCCGTGAACAGTGTATGCAGGAACTCAAGTGCAATTTGTGTGATCATGCGAGTATAATGACCTTCCTAGTACACTTTTTTTTTACATCCTGTAAGTAATGTAATATTTTCATTGCCCTTGTTTCTCGTTTCTTTTAATAGCATGGTGGCATTATTGTAACCTGATTTTGATTGAGAGTACCCTAGTTTACCTTCCACTAATTGTAACACGAAGTCTTCATTTGACTGTGCTTGACCACCCAATCTATTCGCCAGACCTCGCTCCCTGCGACTTCTCCTTCTTCCCAAAGATGAAGTCGGTGCTCAAAGGAACCCATTTTTGTCGGTAGAAGATGTGAAAGCAAGAACGGCGGAAGTCCTCAACAGCCTTACAGAACATGACCTGCGGAATTGCTTTGAACGTTGGCAGCAGTGTGTCAACTCAGAAGGGAACTATTTTGAAGGCGATCGTAGTTGATTTTCCGAAATTGTTAAATAAAAAGAGTTACAGGCACAGTCTCGTTTTTTGATGGCAGATTGGTGAGACCAATTGGGTGACAGGCTTCGCATGTGGCAATGAAACGGTGATAAAGGGATCCGACATCATTATATACTGTACTGCTGTCCTGTGTGGACAATACTACGCGACCTAGTTTACCTTCCACTAATTGTAACAAGAAGTCTTCATTTGGTTACTTTGTTTTATTACTTTTTAAGAAAGCATGTCAAGTTAGAATCCTCATAGATTACCAAGAATGCAGTGTCATCGGGCTTAATTCAACATTTGTTTCAAAAATACATTTGATAGTGTGACTGGCTGTGGGCTGAATAGCCAGGGTTAAATTTTCTCTCAGAGAAAACAATTTTTCTCTTTGTAATATTATCGAGACCAGCTATGTTAACACACAGCCTCCTGTGAAATGGATACTGGTGCTATTCCTCCTGGGATAAAAGAAACGAGTTTGTGAAGCAAACCATTTATCTCCACTTTTAATGCGAAGTTCTAGAAATGTATGGAGCCTTTGCTCCTCATTCTCTAAGCACCTTCATGATGTGTTAGCCCAGCGTATCTGGCTGCCCTGTCTGTTGCACGGGTCAAGGGAAATTTTTAGCTTATTCCGTCAGGCTTCCTCATCACACAGTTTCATTACGCTGGATATTACATCCTGCACTTCCCTGTGAATAGATTTCCCCTGTTTACGCACATTTGACATCTTTATATCATCTGTGATCGAATATAGAATATTATCACAACACCCACATAACAGAGTACAGACGAACTCGATACATGCTATTCTAAACTGCTTGATGGTTTCAGACTGTGTTTAGTAGCATAAAACTCTGGCATATCACACTTCCTACCAATAGCAGTCCTCTAGTCCACCAGGCATAAATATTCCCCCCACACCCCACCAGAAACGACTTCCTCCAGCAGGGTTTTTCTCGTCAACTGTGGACTGTATCTCCTCCACACTCAGATATACATATACACACATATTTAAATTCTCCGACATTAACACAGCATCCTTTTCAAAATTCATTTTTCCCATATTCCCCACACCATTTCAAATGCATAAAATCAGTTGAATACAGAATACCTACCCAAAATCAACATACTTTTCTGATACTACAACATATGATAACTGAATAAGGTAATAAACAGGAATTGCCCTAACAGAGACCGGTTACGTACCCAGACTTGAACACACACACATACTACTTCTGACAGAGTTCTATTTTGCATGATGATTATTCTATTAAAATAATAAATTACTGCTAACATTTAATGTGAAAGCACATCTAGAATCTAGCACAACATCAAACAATATTAAGCTTCTCACATGCAATGCACATAAATAACTCAACAAAACTGGAATGATATCAATTTCAGAGTTGAGAAAAGTGTCCAGATATTACTTAAATGCCTTCAAATGGACATGTCTTTGTGGCAAATAGAAGGAATTCATTATCAAACTTAAATTTCAGAATACAGACATTATTAATTCATTATGGCAGCATACAATTACTCCATAATATAAGACAGTAACTTTCTTAACAATTATTCATGGCAATGTTGATACTGGTCTTCTGTGTCAACAGTGCTTGAACTTGTAGTCAGATAACAAACTCTTGGATAAACATACCGAGACTATCAGTCATAATGTCCACAAAGATTTACAACCCACAGGACCTACATTATCTTAATTCCCATGAAAACTTCAAATGTGATATTAGTGATAGTTTTTCAACCATTACCAAAGTGATTCTTGCCAATCTATGTGGATTCTAACAAGACAGGCATTATTGAAAAGTTAAAAAACAAAGGAATTCCAAATCAAATGACGACTTCGTGTTACTATCGTTGGAAGGTAAACTAGGGAACTGTCAATAAAAATCAGGTTACAATAATTCCACTATGCTATTAAAAGAAACGAGAAACAAGGGCAATAAAAATATTACAGTACTTACAGAATATATAGGATGTGTACTGGGAAGGTCATTATACTCACATAATCCTGCAGGTCCGTGTCAAACTTCGTCCTAAACTGTCTATCTGCCAGCTCTGTCTCATTCACAATCTGTTGAAGTTGAGGCTTCACTCGATTCAACGTCTTTTGATTTGCTCTCGAAACTTCCTGCACCTGGCACGTCTGTCCATTGCACACAATCAATACATTACATGCAGCAGTGCTCAAGCCCTTGTCTCAAGCATAATACAATTTCAAGCAAAGATTTTTTGTTGTATTATGGATACACACACACTACCAGACAGCAGTTTCAATAAATTGGCATATTTCATAAGAGCCATTACAAATAGGAAAATGTTGCCCCACGTTCTGAAAGGTTGAGAACCCCTGCTCTAAATATCCCATTACAAGTAAAAACTGAGACCAACTGTTGTATATGTATAGTAATATAATATTGGTATATCGGAATAGTTGCTAGTTGCAGCATAAGAAATTTAATTAAGCCTTGTATGTGAACACTGTTTTGTAACTCGGACTTTCA